TGACTATTTTTATGGAATTTGAGAAAGGATTGATACCGAATGTTCTCAGTGTGCGCATTGAAATTCTCTCGAAATTCTCTCCTCCACAATGTAGAAGAGGAGAAAATTTCGAGAGTTATTCAATCTCGCCTCATTTCTTTTGATCACAATAGATTGCAAACACAATTAGTGATGATTTGTAGCGCAATTGTGGTGAGTTCAATCTTAAAATTCTCTTCCTTTACGCATGACCGTAATATCCCAGAAATTTAGTTCTAATCTATGTTCGAAAGAAGCATTTGGAGGAAAAAAATGTCTTGTCACGGGTGCGCAACAAAAGAAAAGTTATTCATTATGAATTACTTTTTGGAATTATTGAGATGAATTTCAACTAAAAGTATGCTATGCGTTTGTTGTTTCAGATATCTTGGTGTTATGGAAAATGCAGTTCAACTCTATCATAAAGACAAATCCGACTTCGACACAACAGCGTTCGTTATGACATTGAACAAGGTCTTTTCAATGATTACTTCATCGGTAATAGAATAGCCTTTCTCGTGGCTGCAGGCAGCTGTGTGCTGTTGTGGTCATTTTTGTGCATTGCGTGTTTTTGATTTCCTCAATTGTGCACACCGAAAATTGTTTGTTGTTTATATTTACTGTAGAACCGGATTACTGGTGGGTGGCATCAGAGTTGTTCAGTTTCAGGTTTCAAAACCGATGAAAATTTTTCAGGATCCCAAAAAACAGATTTTGGATGAAAAGGAAGAAGAAGGCATGGGCGTGGCGGCGATTCAATATGGAGAAACGGACGCTTTTATTCAACATGTCAAAACGCAATTATGGCTTTCATATCAGGTGAATTTGAATCCCCTCAACACACGTATCTTTGCAGATTCCGAGAGCTATATCTTGAGCGTCGTTTTAAGCTAATCGCACACTTTGAAAAAGACTGTTGAGCTTTGAATGTTCTGAGTAGAGACGGCGACGATGAATGAATTTCGTTGCGTATTGGCCGAAGTCATCAGCACGCGGAACAGTAAGATTCTTAGGTGATCAAATAGAACTGAAAATGACGTGAGATGTTTCGAAAACAAAAAGAAAACGTTACAGCGAACCTTGTTACTTTACAGTTCAAAATATTTTCAGACATCTGAAGTGACGAAGAAAGGTTTGGGAAAGGTTGAAGAAAAGAAAGCTGTTGCGTTGAAGGATGGTCATATGGACGATTGTTTTGTGTTTTTTATGGCGCTCGAAGAGGAGTCGAAATCGGCGAGAGTGATTCGAAAATGCTCATCAGTATTGAATCGTTTCTTGAAGTTTGTTCTCTTCTTGCGCTTGCTTCTTTACGGTGCACTTTTCTGATACATTCACATATTCGTCAATTACGAATCATTTTGGAGTGTATAAAAATGCATCACTATTATTATTAATCATCAAATTCATCATTTCCAAAACATTAACAATGCTTTGGAGTATAGAAGATGATTCGATTCGTCTGTTTCAACTGTAAATAATTCACCTCAATCTGCATTAGTAATATTAACGGTAATGTGCCATTTTTCCATTTCATGAGGTGGAATTATTTTAGAGGCATCGGTGCATTGCAACGTGAAGGTAATCGTGCCAATGACTGGACCAGGGTTGATTTGAGAGAGGTGCTTAAACTAATGGAGGATCTCATCGACTATTTTGCGCAACCGAATGAAGCTGATGGTATCATTTGTATATCATTCAACTCAACTTTGATAACACTGATGAGCAAAATATTTCCTCCTGATATTAACAGTCATTTTCTTAGAGTATTTGTTATTTAGAATTCGAAGTGAAACAAAATCGCCTTCGAGCGCTACGCAGTCGGCAGGACTTGTTCCAAGAGGAGGGTGTTCTGAATATGATTCTTGATACAATCGATAAATTCTCGCAGATGGAGGCCCTACCGGATTTCGCTGGTCTCATTGGTGAAGATACGCAGGTGAGTGCAGTAGATTAAGACAGCAAGTCAAATCAGCAAAATCCTAACGAATTTCACATATATTCAGTGTTCCGTGTTGATAGCGATTCCGTATGCCACATTTTCATCGCACTATATTAACGAACACATTTCCAGTTGTTTTCCGTGAATGTACTCGAATCCTAGTAGCTGTGCTAAGCGCCGAAACGTCGCTTGCTCAGCAAAAGAACTTTTTGCTCGCTTGTTCGTATTCAGTCAATATTGAAAATTTAAAAAAAATCAGCTGGAATTCAGAGCAATGTTTTGATCGAAACGATGTTGTTGTTTCAGATGATCTGGGAAGAGATTTCCACCTATCTATATTTATTAGTGGCAGCAATGATCAAAGGAAATCACTATAATTGCGCGCAATTCGCGTCAGCACAGCGACTTGACTGGCTTTTCGGACGACTCTCAAATCCACAATCAGCTGAGGGTCAGTGCTGAACAGTGATACTTATTCCAAATGATTATTCACTTCATACTGATGATGAATGGATTCTTGAGAGTTCAGATGATTCATACTCACTTTGAATTCGATTTGGTGAGGTACACAGGTGAGTTTTAGGGCAGAAAAATGTAACAGCAAGTTGAAATCAGTTAGAAAATGAACAAATGTTTCGATAGAAATCAATCGGAATTCGAACCGCAACATATCGTGATCACATTTCATCCACTACAATCACAAACCATCCTGAACACTATAAAACTGTATCACTCTTTCTATTCATGCTCTATCTCTCCGAGCAGTCTTTGTTCATTCAAAAAGTATGATTAGCTCGATAAATCTGTTGTGGACATTATTTTTGAACGTTTCGGATTTCGAATGCTATAATATCTCAATGTTTTGGATTGGTCAGTTGGTTTAGGTAACAGTTCAAGTAATTGATAAATTTGCAAGTCTCAAATAGCTAACGTATTTCAGGTATCCTCGATGTACTCTACTGTGTTCTCACAGAATCTCCGGAAGCGTTGAATATGATCAATGAAGGTCATATTAAGTCAGTGATATCTCTTCTGGAGAAAGTCGGTCGAGATCCAAAGGTGAGCGTTTACTGACAATGAGGAAAATGAGTCGATTGAGGGTTGAAAACTACACAAAAACTCGTTTGATCCGTTTCAAACACATTGAATTCATTGGAATCCATTGGAATGTTTCTCTTGGTCTTCTTTAAGATCCTCTCAATCATTAAATTTTTGCTGTATCTCTCCCAGCAATCAACCGTCGTATTTGTTTTGCGCTTTAATTATCAGATAAAGTAACTTATTTTCAGTGTACATCACTCTGGTATCGTATTTTATTATAAGCATTTCATTTATCGCTTGTTAACATCTTTCTTGTTCAACCAATACCATTCTGTGATCCACAAAGTCGTCGCCCCCTTCGGCATTCTCGTGACCATTAATTTGGTAGTCAACCTATGAAAGTGGTCAGTTTTTAGGTATTGGATGTGTTGTCATCACTGTGCGAAGGAAACGGGATGGCTGTTCGAAGCAGTCAGAATACAATCACTCAACATTTGTTACCTGGAAAAGATTTGCTTCTTCAGACGAAGATGCGAGATCATGTTAGCAGGTTAGCAGATCATTAATCGCATTTTTTGGTGGATTTTTTTGTGAGGTGTTTGGTTAGTTGGATGAATGATTTCATTCCTGTATCTCATTGATTCGATGCAACAAATGAATTTGATACATTTTACGAGAAGAACCGAAACAGTTGAACACCACTGTGTGATTGTTCTGCAAACCCAAAATTTCCCTTCATTATATTCTGGGAATCGATACAATGTTTAACATTGCAAGTAGACTCAGTGTTAGTGCCAATCAAATAAATGCTATTCGCTTTGGTGTGGTAGTTTTGAATGACGATTTGATAAACGAATAAATTTCAGTATGGTGCCAAACATTCTTGTTGGGGTAGTGGAAGGAAGTGCACAATTTCGACGATGGTATTTTGAAGCTGAGGTGGAACATCTGGAACAGATGACCAATACCACACCATACCTTCGCATCGGTTGGGCGAATACTGTTGGTTACAAGCCATTTCCCGGATCTGGTGATGGGTGAGATTTTTAAGAGTTTTTGCAAAATTATACATGTTGGCATGTTTCTTGATAGTTGCTCTTCTAGAATCAAGATGTTTCATTTGTGCGACTATTGAAACGTTCAAAGTCAAGACATATGTAATATTCAGTACAGTCCTAAAGCGATTTCTCGCATTGTATTCGAAAACTTTTATTACATTTAGATGTAACTGCATAGAACTGTGGAAATAGGCATTTGCAATTCTTTCAGATGGGGCTGCAATGGTGTCGGTGATGATTTCTATTCGTACGGTTTCGATGGCTGTTCGATCTTTTACGGTTCGTGTCAATATTGATAACTGATCAAGCATTTCTAAAACTCGCTTTGCCTTTCCTTTAATTACTCATAAGTTAAACGATGTCTTCGATACTAATTAGAAAAGATATCCTTTGCATGATAATTCATCTCGGATTTGTTGGTTATTTCAGCCGGGAAAGGGCGTCAGATCGGCAACGCACCGTTGTGTAAGGGTGATATCGTTGGGTGTGCACTCGATTTGACTATCCCCGAGATTCGATTCACCGTGAACGGAATGCCGACTTTCGGTTGTTTCAAAAATTTCAACGTTGATGGTTATTTCTTTCCGGTGATGTCCCTATCCGCGAAAGTCAGGTCAATAATGTGTACTACTCAAGCATTTCCTTCATTTGCTCCAAAGCGTTTTCTTGGTCAACACTGAAACTCGTTTACTGTTGATTCCGCGTTACACTTTGTAATATGTACCTGTCTGAAACAAACGAATTGCATAAAATATAGCAGTCGTCTGATTTGGACAATGAATACGATGAGTGATGAATTTTGTTCGTTTTGTTAGTTAGGATGAAGTGGAATTGTAAGCTGATTGAATTTGGTTATTTCATTTGCAATTTCAATAGCTTCTGAGAAGCTTATGCCTTTCTTTCATCAGCAGCATCACTGAATATCTTCGGCATCCTCCTTCCCACATGGAAAATAATCAG